CTAATGTATTGTTGATATATAAACCAAAAAGGTAGAGCGAACTGCTTTGCTATAGTTAGTTAGAGAAGTGATTTCGTTGCTCTTTTGTGGTTATCGAGCATCAGTTCATCTGAAGTGGCACTTCCTACTGATCAAAGAGCAGAACATAACAAAGTAAAAGCTTTATATTAACTAAGTTCTACTATGATTTACCAGAATTTCTTTAACGTTAATTTTTTTTATATTTTTCTTGTGTTTGGTACATCGCGAAACAGGTAAAGTAGCTTAAGATTTTTAGACATTTTCCATAATATATCATAATTTCCGGAGAATATAATTAAATATGATAAAACAGGATGTAAACAAAATTGACTATAGTCACTATCACGTGATTCACAAAAGAACACAAATTGTCTGTCCAAAAGTCAAGAGAAATAAGTCAATTGAACACTCTTACATGTATGCATGTGTCCATGATTTTTTTATCTTTAATCAGATTTGAACATACGGGTCCGTATACACATTTATACTTATGTTTGTTAGTATATAAGCATATGACGAATAAGGCTTAGATATGTTACTGATGTCAAGAATTTATTTATATTAAATGATAATTTGGTGCTATAAAATTTTATATTGTTTAGAATAGGGGAAGCGAAAAAATTATACAAATTAAACGAGATAATAAATATTGCTCCCAAAAAACCCCAAATAATCATATTTGTTATCACTTCTTCATTTTATCGTTGTATTTGTTTAAGTTAAAAATAATAAGATAAAAACGTTTAAAATATCAGTAGTTGTCCACCATTTTTTATGTATGTGGCCGTACTAGCTGGGTAACATTTCTGTGCGCACCCTGTTTCTCCACTTAAAGGTTTTTGCGGCTACACAGGACGCAGGGGCGTAAATTGGACCGCACAAATAATTTTGACATTAAACAGTAGTAACTGTCAAAGATGGCGGGAAAGAGCCGTTTTATGTCAATCTATGGTCATGAATGATGGATAAGTTAAGATAATACTCTAACTCGTACCAGTTAGGAGAATATTTTTTTACTTTATTGCTGGTTACAATAATAAATAATTATTTTGATAAGAAATATATTTAAAATACCGTTTAAGCTAATTGTTAATGATTAAATGACAACGATCTTATATTATTATTATAATGGACACTAAACAAAGGGTAAATAATTAAAATTATATAAATTATATAAAATTATAATTAGATATAAATCCAAGCATTTGATTTCCTTATTTTATTATCCTTATTTCCTTTCTTAATATTTACAAAATTTGTTGTTGATGTCTCAAAATATGTCTTTTTATAGTATCGAAGGATATCACGTATCAATCTTGGTTCACGATCATCTACGACAAAAAAGTCACGCTATGGTTGAGATGCCATAGAAATTTTATTTCTTAGATAGTAGATTGTAAAAAAACTACTTCTTTCATCTACAATATAAGATTACAAAAGCTATACAAAGAGTAAATAATATGTTTTGCTCTGTTTCAATTTCAACCAGTTTGAAACAACTAACTCAGGACGACAGATTTCGTTTTTATTATAAAACTGGCTGTTGCTCGCGACTTTGCCCGCGTAAAATTAAAAAAAATAGTCTATGTTACTCACAGATAAATTACCTTTCTAACAGTAAAAGAATTTTTTTTTCAATACATACGAAAATACAAACATTTCTTCTTTATAATATCAGTATCCATAAAACTTAAAAATTTTATTAACAATGAGTTGTTTTAAAATCGATACTCTTAAAAAGTTTAAGAAAAACATTTAATCCCGATTATAAGTATTCTTAATTTTTTTTTTCAAGGTGTTTTTGCCCAACATTATTGTATCGTAACTACATTAATTTGTTAAGGTTTTAGCGTACTATTTGTGCAGTTCTTGTTATAATCTTGCAACATTGTATATAAAATCGCTTCTCTTTGCTAATATCTGTTTTAATGTTATTATCGATTGTTTTAATATAGTATTCATTAAGTGGTCTATATCGCGGTTACTAGGCCATAGGTTGAGTAGTGACGGTCAGTTATCGCTAGGTAATTACAAACTTTGATAATTATTTTCGACAGTAGCCTCACCGGTCACCCTCTACCATCTTGTCAAGACGTCGATATCAGTTATCAATACTATTATAATAAAGCGTAAACACACACTTGTTTGTTGCCTAAGATGTCAGCAATTACAGCATATTTTGAGAATAATTTTTTTTAATAAAAAGTCCTACTCTTACGTCACGCTTTAGGCTATATAATTTCACGCCGTTAAACTTAGGGGTAAATATTTTGGATAAAAACCCTAATGTGGGAAAGAGACCGTAAGTTGTTGCCAACATCAAGAAAGCAAGATTGCCAAGGTTGTCATGTCATGTCATAGTGACATTTGCAATTGATAATTTGACAAATGTAAACAATAAAATTAAGTTTTTATAGTTTTATGCGGATGAAGTCGCACGGGAACAGCTAGTTATGTAATATTTTTATGTGGACATAACAATAACTAGTATATTAAAACTTCGATTTCCGTTCGAAAATCGTAAACGTATTGTAGTTAGGTCGTTTTCAATAAGAATAAATATAGTAAAAAGCACTTATCGCTACAATTTTTATGATCGTAGCCTGCGTATGCGTAACTTTAAACGTATTTGACGTCGCCTTGATAATAGAGGTTACGATAGTAAATAATATAATAGATAATAGACAAAAAGTTTAAAATATATATTGGAGTTTACATACTCAACAAATTGGTTTCAATTCATTTTTTTTTTCAAAAAATAATAAATTTGTTTTTTTTTCTTGTGAGGGGTTAAAAAGTGGTAAAACTTGCAGTGACTTACATTCAGAAAAAAGAATAATAAAAATTGTTTTATTTATATATCTTCGTTTCATTTGTGTATCGAATCTATCCTGTGTTCAATAAACTTTCTATAGTCAATGGAAATAATCTCTTTTTTTGCTTAAAAAGATTATAAAAGCCCTCGTATTAACTGAGATTGTAGCGGATTTGTTACTGCATTTAAAATATCTACCATAAGAACATTACAATAGAGGTTATATTTAAATGAACTTACTTGTTGCACACTGCAGTCGGAACCACAATTTACGTCGAAGTGGCCATCTGCGGTGCGATTCTGGAAACGACAAAAATTGTAATAAGTAAAGAACAGGATAAGTTTTTACATGCTTTAATGCGGTTGAAGTTACTTTCTAGAGGTAGGAGAGGATACGGTGCAATCAGCGACGCACCGTGCCCTATGACTTCCGGTGAGCGCACACGCACTGGAGCGTGCCACCGATGTCGCAATCACGTTTATTTCACAAAAAACTTCGCTTTTAAACTGGAAAATCTGAATCTACTTTTTTATGATAAAATGATTTAGATAAGATGACTTGACTTGATCGGTCAGATCGTAAACTATTTTTGTGTTTTCACGGAGGATTAGGATAGTCCGGAAACAAAACCTTAAAAAAGTTTGAACTATGTTTAGATAGCTTTATAACGTAGTTAATTAACATTTATCACTTGATCTAATCCACGTATTATATAAATAAGCGGGAACTCCATTCAACATCCAAA